CATCATCTTCACCATCATCATCTTCGCCTTCATCTTCATCATCACCATCAGCATCATCATCTTCATCATCACCATTATCATCATCATCTTCATCATCACCATCAGCATCATCATCTTCATCATCACCATTATCATCATCATCTTCACCTTCATCTTCATCACCAACTTCATCATCATCATCATCATCTTCACCTTCATCTTCATCATCATCATCATCTTCATCACCATAATCACCATCATCATCATCATTAGCATCTTCATCACCATCACATCATCATCTTCATCACCATCATCATCAGCATCTTCATCGTCATCATCATCTTCACCTTCACCTTCACCTTCATCTTCATCATCACCATGATCATCTTCATCACCTTCATCTTTATCACCATCTTCATCATCATCTTCACCTTCACCTTCATCTTGATCATCACCATTATCTTCATCCTCCTCCTCTTCCTCTCTCTCTCCTCAGGTGTTACGTTCTCTCTTTGGCTCTCATATCTCTTCTCTCATCTTGGCACCTCCCACCTCTGATGATGTCACTGAGGGCTCTGCTGGACATCCTGCTGCTTCCTCCTCCTCCTCTTCCTCGTCCTCGTCTCCCTCTGGATTGGTTCTTGGTAGTGGTGCTGCAAGGGGATTGGTGGGCAAACGGGAAGTGGTCCCACGGTTCTTCCTCGATTTCCTGCAGCGACAGGCCAAAATGAGGAGGCGGACCCGAAAGTCGATGGTGGGAGGAAGAGGATGCTTCGGGATGAAGATGGACCGCATCGGCTCTGTCAGTGGGCTGGGCTGTTGAAGACGCTCATGTTACCATGGTGACACCTGTAGGCCTTCCATTATGTTGCCATGGAACCACTTTCCAACAAGAACACTGACCTCAGAACACTGTAGTGACCACGGTGACCACGGTGACCACGGTGACCACGGTGACCCTGAACCGACCCTACGTGATGTCTGACCTTCAGGTCGGAGACTCCATGTTGGTGCTTCACTAGTAAAGGAAACGTAGACACAGGTCGTCAACTGGTGACCCCTGACCCCTGACCCCTGGCT